ACACACACACACACACACACACACACACACACACACACACACACACACAAAACACACACACTTAATCAGCAAACTGCTACTCTCTTACCTTCGAATCCACTTTGTTAATATTGTTTTGGCAAGTACAGGCTGTAACAATTAGATGGTGGCAGCGTTTATGGACGACACAGGTGCACACTAGAAAAGTAAATCCAGTAATTATACACTCATCAGAGATTCACAGTCCAGCCAGCCACAATAATGTCAGCAAGGCCAGTGTGACTAGCCTTGTCTGCCGACGTGAGGGCAGCTGGTGCCCCCATCCTTCCTGCTTCCTTTGCTACCATCCTAACACTCACCTCTACTAGGCTCAAGCTACCCAGCATCAAGCTCTGAGCTTATTTCCTCCTGCCTGCCTTAATTCTATCCTGCACCCACCCCCAGAGGACTCTTCCCATGGCGGTCAGCTCTGTCCCATGATTGAAAACCTTTAATGGTGTCTCACTGCCAGTCAATGGAGTTTACATTTCCTGGTCAGGTTTCAGGCTCTCCAGAGGCTGCCCCAAGCTACCTGTCACCTTGCTTCTATGGGATCTGCTTGTTCCAATAAAAACGACACCGGTTACTCTTCCTGGAACACATCTTCACCTTCCCTACACACTATCCATGCCCTTCCATGTCCCTAGGATCTCCTCTTTGCCTATTGACTAAATAAGTCTTAAGTTTAGGGCAAGATCCAACTCAAAAAACTTCTCTCTTGGTCAGGCACGGTGGCTGTAATCCCAGCACTTTGGAAGGCCAAGGGAGGAAAACTGCTTGTGGCCAGAAGTCTGAGAAAAATGTTTCTTCCCTGAAAATACCCTACACCTGTCCCCCTTCCAGACAGAAACCATCTGTCCCTTCTCTGATCTCCCACAATCCTTAGACGGCCTCCTTCATTTCAAAATTCCCACACAGTCTCGGAAAGCCCTAGAATCCCCTGCATGATGCCTCGAGCAGAGGCATTCAACGAATGTTTGCTGCGTGGCTCAATCAATGGTTTGAATATTTAGAACTTGCTGAATAACATTTTGTTTTCCATTTTCATCTAGATAATTGACATAGTGCAGACAGAATTGAGCTTGTCACTAAAGGATAAACACATGCGATGACGCAGTAGGGAAATATACACATTTTAAGACCTTTCAAGACATGTGGAAGGTTTTAGGATTAGCTACATAAAGACAGGTGACATGCTGGCAAATAACATTAGACCTTGAAACAAATCTAGCTTTCATCAGACTGAATTCTCAGGAGAACCACATTGAAAGTGCACAGAGAACTTTTTATATGACAGGATCTCAAAACCATCCTTCATACAGAAAGCCCTTATTTTTTTAAAGCATTTGGTTTTTTCTCAGTTAGCTTGGCTAAAGGCTTATCAATTTAATGGATCTTTTCAAAGAATCAACATTTGGTTCCATTAATTTTCTCTATTGTCTTCCTGTTTTCCACTTCATTGATTTCTGCTCTTATTTTATTTTTTCTTATGCTCACTTTAAGCCCACATTTCTCTTCCTTCTCTAGTTTCCTAGGGTTTTTAGCTCTTTCTTTTTCTCTGCTATATGTGCTTAATGCTATACATTTTTATCTGAGCACTGCATTTGCTGCATCACACATTTTTTATAAGCTATATTATCATTTCTATTTGGTTCAAAATATTTATGATCTCCTGGGTCTTCTTTTTTGACCCGTGTTACATATGACATGTTGTTTAATCTTCAAATATTTAGGGGTTTTCCAGCTATATTTCTATGATCAATTTCTAGCTTAATTTCATTGTGTTCCAAAAAGATATGTTTTGGGATTTCCATTCTTGTAAATTAGTTAAGGTGTGTTTTATGGCTCAGAATGTGGTCTCCGAGGTCTGATAATTAAGTTCACCAACTCATCCTAGAAAAAGTGCTACATACCTCGTTGCTGAATATCACTATGGTCACCTTCGAAGTGCTTCCCTTGGGAAGCTATGCACCGGCACCAGCACCTAGTCTACCTGTCAAAGCAATTTTGGAACTATTTTTCTGGAATGGCCTTCAAAGCTGTTGCCGTATTATCCTTGATGTCCTGAATGTCATCAAAAAGTCTTCTTTCCAACATTTCCATTATCTTTGGGTAAAGAAAAAAGTCACTGGGGGCCAGGTCAGGTGAGTAGGGAGGGTGTTGCAGTACAGTTATTTGTTTACTGACAAAAAACTCCCTCACAGACAGTGCTGTGTGACTTGGTGCATTTTTATGATATAAGAGCTCCTTAGGGACCATTTTAGCACACACCTTTCTCATGTCAAGATTTTCAGTTAGGATTTTCCTGTTTCTCTATCGATGTATGTTTGTTCTGCTATGCTTTTCACAGTCAGCTGATGATTTTGACACACAACTCGACTAATTTTTGCCACATTTTCATCAGTTCTGCTAGTTACTGGCCGTCCTGACCTCTGCATCAGTGACGCTTTCTCTCCCCTCAAAAAAATACTTAATTCATTTATTCATTGCTGTTTTCTTCATGGCATTATCCCCATAAACTTGAACTAACATGTCCCCGATTTCACTTACACTCTTTGCCAAGTTTAACAAGAAATTTAATGTTTGTTCGTTGCTCTAATTCAAACTCTGACATTCTTGAGACAACAGCTCTGATGGCCATTCCAGAAAAAGAGTTCCAAAATTGCTTAGACAGAGGGACTAGGTGCTGGCATCAGTGCATAGCTTCCCAAGGGGAGTATTTTTAAGGTGACCATAGTGATATTCAGTAATGAGGTATGTAGCACGTTTTCTAGGATGAGTTTGTGAACTTAAGTATCAGACCTCGTATGCTGATAAATGTTCCTCATGAGGTTGAGAAGAATGTGGAATCTGCTGTTATTGGGTACAGTATTCTATAAATGTTCATTTGACCTAATTGTAATAATGTTGTTTAGGCCAACTACATCTCTACTGATTTTCTGCCTACTAGATATATTAATTACTGAGACTCTGAAGTCTCCAACTCTAATATTAGACATGTCTCTATTTCCTTGAAGTTCTATCAGTTTGTCTCATATATTTTATTGCCTGTTGTTGGGTATATACATGTTCGAGACAGTGATGTCTTCTTGGAAAAATGATTCTTTATTATCACCTCTCTCTCTCTCCCTGCTAATTTTCCTTGCTCTGAAGTCAGTTTTGTCCAAAACACCTACCCTAGTTTGCTTTTGATCACTGTTAGCCTGGTATATCTCTCTCCAGTCAGGCATTTATATCCCTTAGCAAGATGACAACAAAGTGGTGTCTTCATGTCTCCTAATATTTTTTTGCTGTTCTCTAAACAGCAGGTGACCCATGGAAAAATCAGGCTATCAAATAGCCTGGCAATACAGGCCAAAGAGGAAAATAAATAAAATAACAACAAAGATACATTATAAATCACATATTTTAAATTCAAAACTGTAGTCTTGTCTATCCGAGCTTCTCAACTTGTCTTGATGTGCCTAAGATGGGCCAGAGAGGACTGCAGGGCATACCCCTGGGCCAGGGAGGCATGGATTGTGGCTTGTAAACTATCTTTTCATATGGGGCTGAGATTAAAAGCACATAAGTCAATTATTGTTGTCACTTTTCTCCCTAACTTTGACAGCTTAATGAAATTGCATATACATATTAAGTCAAAGTTAGATCCAAGAGTAGGTCTTATTCACTTCACCAAGGGAAATAATGTCTTTCCTTCTTCTCCGGAAGAGGAGGTGGTACTTCCTTATTTGCATGGAGGCAACCACTCTAGGATAGGTAGTGCTATTTTATCAATCATCTATATATGGAAATGGATACTACATATATATACCATGTGATGATACTTAAGTCAAAGGTTACAAGAGGCCCAAATACAAGGCAAGCCTGATCCAGCCTAGCTAAACCACTTGGGTAAGGGCTCTTCTTTCACTCCTTCCTTTGTATCTTATTCCAGTTCTGCTGGAACACTAGTCAATTGGTTTTGTCTTAGAATTGTGAAAAGTAAAATAAATGTAGCCTGTTATAACTTTCAAGATCATTCACAGCTTAAGTTTGGACATTGCTTACTTTTTTCTTTAAAATTAGAAAATTTCAAAAAAAACCCAACAAACTTAAATAATAGTTTCTATTCCCTAAGTAGGTATGGAGAAAACAGCATTGGCTACTGTTTACCCCTATTGATAATGGGACTGTAAACAACCAAGGTTTGTCTTCAAAATTTAAAGGTATACTCACAAAATGGCATTACCTTTAAATCCTTTCATGCTATTGCAGAGATAGAACTTTAGAACAATGAAACTCTACTAGGTATCCTCGCTTTAGAAATAAAAAATCCCCTCTATACTGTCTAAAATATAGCCAAAATCTAACCCAAACTAAATAGCTATGACCACACAGGAGTCTCCTTTGACTTACAGTTATTTATCATAATATTAATGGAATGCATCCTGTTTTCTCTTGGTATAATCATTGTTTTAATATAGGAACAAGATTAAACAGCGTTTTTAAAATGTTTTCTTACCTTGGCATTGATAACCCTGTTTCCCAAAGACTCCCCTGTCAAGGAGAAGAAAATGACCATCAGTCAAATATTTCAGCAATAACTCTCCTATAGTCCTTAAGGAAAATACGTTTCATCTTCTACTCCTTTATGAAAAACACAGTTCCAGAGAAGAAGCAGAGATGATGTGTTTTTTGAGCCTTTGTTTGTTACCATAAGACACACATATAATCTGACAGATTAGAATGTTCTAGATCAGGAGTATCCAATCCTTCGGTTTCCCTGAGCTGCACTGAGTAAAGAGGAATTGTCTTGGGCTGCACATAAATTATATAATATAGTTATTATATATACATAACAAGACTTCTTATATATATATTTTTTTTTTATTATAAAGTTTAGAAAAATGAGAACTATAGAAAACCAGTGAGAAATTTGACCTTGTTTTTGTAAAGCTAATCTATCAATGTCTGGTTTGATGGAAGTGGTTGCAATTCTTAGTGAGTTCTCAAGGTGCTCGTCAGGAATGTGTGTTCGAATTTTGCTTTTCGTGTGCTTCATCATTGAAAACAGCTGTTCACAAATGTTTGTCCTGCCCAAAAGTGATGTCATGAATAAGGTGTGATTGTGAACTCTAAAAATGGAACTTCGCATGGGGTCATGAAGAAAATAAATGCTAAAACACACATGATGTCAAAAAAAATTTTGTGGGGCTGCATTACTAGCTGTCCTGGGCTACAAGCAGCCCATAGGTCATGGATTGGACATGCTTGGTCTAGATGATACAGATGGGTGGGTACAACAATTCCCATCCCACTTTCCTCTACAGTAATCACCTGTCCTCAATAGAAATGAACTCTCATTTCTACATATGGTTGAGTCTCAGCCTAAAGAGTGACTCTGCCACCTATCATCTCTCATATACATACAAAGATGTACAGATGCTGAAGCAAACAGACACAGACACATGTACAGAAGCACACATCAGCCTAGGCAGTTGCCTGATTCAGAGCACCTGCCCTCGTCCCTGTGGCCCCATCACCTCAGAGTCCACAGGACGCTGAGCTGCCACCACAATATGCCTATCAGGCACACAGCTTCCGTCTCTGTCCTGCCCTAATATCCTAATACATTCTACGGGCGACAGGGATATTATTCTCATTAACAAAGACCACATTAACTAAGTGCGTGGGATGTGCCAGGTGCTGGGCCAAGTGGCAGATAAACACAATCTCATTTAATCCTCACAAAAAGCCACAGGAGATATCACACATGATAGCATGATTAAGAACACAGACTCTGAAGTGAGATGGCCTGACGCTTTCAGCCAGTTTCCTCATCCATAAAAGGGAATGATGATAACAGGACCTACTTCCCAGAGTGACTGTGAGGATAAAAACAAGTTGATAATGTAAAGTGCTTAGCATCGTGCCTGACACTTCAAGTGCTCTATGAAAGTGAGTTGTATAAGTAAAATTAAATTGCTGTCTCTACTTTGTAAATGAGGAGACACTGAGAGATTATATAACCTGACTAAGTCATATGTCCACTTGGTGATAAGACTGAATGCCAGAGTATATACTCTTAACCATATATATGTAATACATACATCAACATTTTAAGTGAGAGAGAGAGTGTGTGTGCATTGAGAGAGTTAAAGGCTAGTTGTGAGGACGTGGTTAAGAGTTCCTTGGTGGAAATAAGTCAGTGAAGTTAACAAATAAGGCTCCATTACGAATGTTAGTTGAGGTCAGAGATCATCACCACAAATGCCTACAGGGCCTAGGCAGGTCACATAAAAGAGGAAAACAGAGTGGTGTGACATGAAATACACTGCAATGGGCAGGCATCTTCAGGTTAAGTGATCCAGAGAGTAGGACTGTGGCCACCCAGAGTGTGCAGACTGCTGCAAAGAAGGAACATGGGCTCAGAGATGCCAGAGCTGCTCATTTGCCACCCCTTCCAAAACAGCGATAGACATTTTTTCCTAAAGATTATAGTTATGACACATTTGTAGGCTTTGTATCAACAGCTGATTTAGGGCTTCAACGGTCTCTTCTTGATTAAAAATGTCAGAAACACTAACTAACTCTAGGTTCTGACTGCTAATTCGTTATAAAATCCAAAGCCATAGCAGAATATTCAGAAATGACTGTGAACCAAGGGTTTCTGCCTTCATAATACAAAATGATTGAAGCTTGCAACAAAAACACAGATCTCCTTTCATGCTACTAAACTGCTTTCTCCTTCTGAGATGCGTGTGTAGTACATGCATGCAGGTGTGTGTGAGGGGGTATTTCTATCTTCTGTTCCAAAGGAATATGCTTACTGTTGCTCTCTTTGAAGATAACTATTGCTTAAATTTATTTTACACTGTAGATTTGCCACTGACACTGAGACTTAAGCTTCAGCTGTATGTCTGGTAACATACGGCCCCAAATCTCTAGAATTTTTCTATGTTTAATTATCTTAGTTCCCATTTGTCAGGGATTCGATTATAGTATCTGATCACTAAAGGCTATGACCTTCTGCTACATACCATGAGGCTTAAAAAGACTGTGTGCTGCTGGGCCTGGTGGCTCACATCTGTAATTCCAGTGCTTTGGGAGGCCAAGGCAAGAGGATTGCCCAAGTCCAGGAGTTCAAGAGCAGCCTGGGCAACATGGTGAGACCTCATCTCTATAATAAACTAAATAAATTAGCCAGGAGTGGTGGCACACGCCTGTAGTCCCAGCTACTTGGAGGCTGAGGCAGAAGAATGGCCTGAGCCTAGGAGGTTAAGGCTACAGTAGCTGTGATTGTGCCACTGAACTCCTGCCTGGACAACAAAGTGAGACTCCAACTCAAAATAAATAAATAATTACTGTGTGCTTAGTTTCCTTGCAACCACTAATTTCTATAAGTCATCATGTGATGCATGCCTTCTTAAAGCAATACTGTCGATTTTTCCTTTGTCCCCAGGGACTGATTACCTGATTTATTGATGATCTAGTTACTGACTGATTAGCTTCTTTCCCTGATTTATGCTTTTTGACCAGTCTATGATTCATTAACATCTTTTCTGAGATGATTTAAAATAAGAAATAATATCTAAAACTTGGATCTGTAAATTATTTAGTTTTTTATTTTGTTTTGTTTTGTTTGCAAAGGGGATTAAAAATACTGGGCTAATATATTAGAATAAGAGGCAAAAATTAGATCCTAAAAGAATTCTTGATTGCGATGCTTTCTCCTGAAGTCACACATAACCAGAGGAAGACTCTGTTAGAGAGAAGCCCCCGGGAGGAGAGTTGTCAGGAAGCCTCTTACCAGATAAACTCCCGGCAGTGAGAGCAGTAGGTGGGCTGCCTCAGATACGTGGCCATAAACTTGTGTCCATTGATCTGGTGGACTCGCCTTCGCATAGCCCTTTGGCGCTTCCTGGTAAAATGTTTGAAGATTCGGTCTCTCTGGAGAGTAGCTGTATATTTAAAAGGAAGGAACAAGAACGTCATGTTATTAATCTAGCCGCACCTAATGTATGAGAAAGTTTGATAGTTCAAATACTATTTATTTTTTTCTTTCTTCAAGATCCAAAACATCACCTCCCACCCCAAATCACCATGCTTTCCTAAAGACCTTATTAGGACTCTCATTTATCAAGGTTAGACCTGTGTCAAGGTTAGACCTATGGAAGCCCCTGAGATGCCCACTGCTTGGTTATAATTGGCCATTTTGGGCCAATCTCTTGCAACACCAACCATGGGTTTCCTAGGGCTCTGACACGACAGTATGTGACCTCAGCACAGTCTCCTAGCCACAGTTGTCTGGGATCTCGGGTCCATCTATGGGCTGTAACTGCTGGCTGGTGAAACAACATTTCTCATGCTTCTCCTTTAATTCTGGTATCCTCCCAAACTGAAGGAGGAACTGCCCACACACCGACTATGACAGGCCTGCCCAAAAGCAATTGGTATAGGACCATCTCTGTCAACCTAGAATAGGTAGAAATTAACCTAGAATAGGTGCAAAGTTCCTTTTCTAACCTCATGTTTTTAAAACAGTGGCCCCTAATCTGAAGACTGAAAATTGCACCATTACATCTTCTGAATAATTCCACTAGAATTTTTCTAATGTTTGCTGTGACTTGTGACAAGTAAAATACAGCTTACTTCCTCAATAATGCTTTAAATTAATCACTGAAGCAAAGAAAATTTAAGGAATCATGCAAAATTAATTTGCTAATAAATCTAAAAACCTGGAAGAAACAGAAGATTTCTAAGATAATCTTAGATTCATGTTCAGGAGGAAATTACAGAAAAACAAGAAAACACAGAAAAATATTACACTCCTAGGATAGAATAAGGATAATAATACTCTAAAGCCAAAAAAAGACTCACAGATGTGCGAATTAAGTAACTGAAAGTTCTATCTGGCAAAGACACACAGCAGAAAGTTGAAAGAAACAAACAGGTGGAGAGGGGATTTGCAACACATGACAAAGGGTTACTATTTATAATATGTAGAATCAGTAAGAAAAAAAAGGATAAACAATCCAGTAAAAATGGGGCAGAGGATGTGAACAGGTAATTCATGAAACTGTACGTGCAAACAGCCAATAAACACGCCAAGATATTCAGCCCTACCCCAGATGGACATATAAGAACCAGAAGCCACATCACGTTTTACCTCCTAAGTTGGCAAATACTTAAAGGATTGCGAAAGCACCTATTTTGACAAGAGTGGGGTGAAATAGGTGCCCCCATCCAGCTGGAAAAAGGATAAACTGAGCTCCAGTGCGGGCTTTGCCACATGGACTCTGTATTTCTTGCCAAATCTTAGGGATCCTGTCTAGAAAAAAAATGGTGCCTTCCTCCTGGGGTTTTTGCAAGGAATGAATCAGGTTAACATATACAAAGTACTTAAGCACAAAGCTAGGTACATTGCAGCATTCAAAACATGTAGCTAGTTCAAAAATAATTTTTTGGAGACCAATTTGACAATATTTAGTCAAAGTTTCAATGTCCTTTTAGTCAGCAATTCAACTTCTAGAAATTTTTTTCTATAAAAAATACCAGTAAGCAGGAATATACACTGTAACCATCTCAAGTTCTACACACTCTTTTTAACAATAAAACTCAGAGTCTCCACAAGAAATTGCAAAAAACTAAATGTAAACCAAAAAAACGAATGTGCAGGAAGGTGCAGAGGCTCAAAACTGTCATTCTAGCACTTTGGGAGGTCAAGATGGGAAGACTGTTAAGGGCCATGAGTTCGAAACCAGCCTGGGCAATATAATGAGCCTCTCTCTTAAAAACAAAACAAAAACAAAAAAGAAAACCTTTTTTTTTTTTTAATTAAAAAAAATTTGGCCAACACTTCAATATCTTCAGAGACTAGCCGAGTTAAAATTGTAACTGCTGCAGTTTTTGTTAGAAGGTATGTGTAATCTTGGGCAAGCAGCCTAATTATTTAAATTCTCAGGTTTCTCATCTCTCTTAAGAAGATAAAACACAACCCTGTCCTCAGCCCTATGGGGATAGTGTCATAATCAATATTCCTGACAGGATCTTACAACTGCATATAAGAATCGCATAAGAAAAGAAGCGACTGTACTATACTGCTCTCTTCCATGATATTTCCAGAAGTCATTTAGTAACCACAAAGTAAACAGACTTTAATGTTCCCTTGTTGGCAGAAGATAAAATTAGGCTAATGAGATCACCCTCTATCTAGCCTATGTTATCACCAGCTGGAGACTCTGCTCAGTACTGGCCAAAGCAAAACTTGTATTGAAATAATAAACACTTATCATACCTAGATGCAAATTAAATTTTCCCTGGGGGCCTAATTACCAAGAACTTACTTATTTAATCCCTTACTACTATGATGATTGGTTAAAAGGCTAGCTCACTTGCATTTTTAATATTTCATGAATTGAATTCTTTTTTTTTTCCTCAACAGCTATTGCCACAGCAGTAGCATGACCTATGAATTTTCCAGCCAATTCCTTATAACTGGAGGATTTAGGGAAGATCTGCTTGTAACTGTCTGCCATGCCAGGCATGTCTTGCTGTCTTGGCTCCTGCCTTTGGCCCTTCCCTCTTTTTTCCCAACTAGTTAATTCAGACACAACCTACCTGCTTTAGCGATATAGCGGCCTGCCCTGAATCCTGCAGCCAGGTGACACACTACCACCCTCTGTTCCCACTGTAGCTGGAAGTGCACCTGTCTCTTCCCTTACGCGCAACCTAGGGGCTGTGTCTGGTCCACCTTTCTCCTGTTCTGTATTCTTTTGCAAGTGAGCTCTTTTTGTTTAAAAAGCAAATGCACACACGTGCAAACATTCACACACTTGGGAATATGCAAGACATCTAGTCACATAAAAAAATACACACAACACAGCCATTAAAAAAATCAGAATCCTTTAATTCCACTGATGGAACTGGAGGTCATTAAGTGTAATAAGTCAAGAACAAAAAGACAAAAATCACAAGTTTTCATCACATGTGGGAGTTAAAAATGTAGATTTCTTGAGTAGACTGGTGGTTACCAGAGACCAGGAAGAGGAGGAAAGTGGAGAGTGAAAAAAGTTTGACCAATAAGTACAAACAGCCAGGCGCAGTGGCTCACACCTGTAATCCCAGCACTTTGGGAGAATTGCCCCAGCCCAGGGGTTTGAGACTAGCCTGGGCAACTTGGCAGGACATCATCTCTACAATAAATAAAAAAGACAGCCAAGCGTGGTGGTGCGCACCTGTACTCCAAGCCACTTGGAAGGCTGAGTCAGAAGAATCTCATGAGCCCAGGAGATCAAGGCTGTGGTGGCCATGAGTACGCACACTGTACTCCAGCCTGGGTAACAGAGTGAGACTCTGACTAAAAAAACAAAAAACAAAAAAAGAAACCCCACAATAGTACAAATGTACACTTAGAAAGAATAAGACCTAGTGTTCAATAGATCAGTAGGGCGACTATAATTAATATTGATTGATTGTACATTTCAAAATAGAAAAGTTTAATAGTTTCTAGTATAAAAAAGATAAATATGGGATGTGATGGATATCCCAATGACCCTTATTTGATTTATATGAATATATCAAATGATCACGTGTACTGTGAAAATATGTACAGTTATCATGTGTGAATAAAAATAAATAATTCAGGGGAACAAAGCAAACAAAAAACTGGGGCCCCCATGGCTTCCACTGACTTTCACTGTCACCGTGCTGTGGATTGACACCATAAACAAAAGAAAGAGCTCTCCCCTTGCATGCTGCCCACCAGCCTGCAGCCTTGAAGCACACTTCACATCGGAATGCTGGGGTATTTCTTCAGTGTTGGCAGCAGCCTCCTGTTTACTTAGGACTGAGTTAAAAGAACTTAAAAAAAAAAAAAAAGATTGAATCTGCTGTGCCTTAAATCAACCAGAGCTTTGAGAAATCTCTCAGATAATACTTTTAGCCAGACATGTCAGGCAACCCGAACATGCTTTGTACCAGAACTTGCATTGCAACTTCTGTTTGGCCCCTGAGGTGACCACGCCCTCTAAGTAAATAAGAAGCTGGCTCTGTGCCCCAGCAGGAAAATTCACATTCCAGTCTCCAGAGGGGTGCAGGCCTCCAGCCGGATCTGCCTCACCAGGAGTTGGTTTTAAAAAAGACAGGGTGCAGCGCCATTATGTCAAATATAATGAAGATGAACTATTCTGAACCCAAATTCTCTCTTCAGACCTGACTGCACCCCACACACTCCTTTTGAGAACTTTAGAATGCACAAGTGCCTAGGAGTCACCACATCACCCCAGGGCAAATTTTCATTTGCAAAAAGTTCTGCAGAACTGGAACTTGTGTTGGTCACGTGAGGCTTTTGTGGCAGAGCCACTTTTGTCTCTGAAGCCTCTGCAAAAATGTTTTAGCTTTATCTCAAAAATAGTCAATGCCTCACCCTCTTTAAGTCTTCTGCTCTATCTCCCTGAATTTAAGGTTTTGTATGCCAGCCACAGAAATATATATTTGAAAGGACTTTTGAAACATTCCCATGTGGGGTAAAAGCATGGATCACAGCTCCTAATTTTCAAAATGATTATAAGCCAATTAAATCTGAGAGTAAAAATGTATGGCATGACACTTTTTAGTTTCCAGAACTGATATAGAATGCAAAAAGAAAATAACTTTGAATCAGTGTAAAATACAATTTAACCTTTGAGTTGAATTTGCCTTATAGCAAAAGCATGATGGTTTACTAAGATCTCTGGCTTGTCTTGAAGCAGCTATGCGGAAGAGGTTGAACAGCCTTTCTACACAACATCGGGCAAGACAGCACGGTGGCTGAGGATGTGGGATCTCAGCCCAGGGTGTAATACTACTTTTCCCCTTTAGAAGCTAGGTGACCTTGGGCAAGTTGTTTAACATCCTGTGCCTCCGTTTCCTCCTCTATAGAATGTGAAAAATATGTTCCTCATAGGGCCATTTTGAGGAC